ACCCAAGAAGTCCCAGGGCCGTGAACTCCATAAAATGATGCCAAATGGTGCCATAAACTCTTCTAATGCCTAGTACAAGAGCCTAGTTTAGTTCCTAGTTAATTTAGGCACTTGAAAACACCATAAACATCCTCCCATGGGAGATTATGGCCGTAATGTCCAAGGGATATGGTCCCAGGGCCGTAAACTCCTCAAAGGAGTTAAAAGGAAGCCCAAACACTTGTTTAAGCCTTGAAGCAATTCACCACTTGAGTTGTATTAAATTTAGGCTTTGTTTAGATACCTTATTGAGAGTTTACAGCCAAGAGTTTACTCCCCTAGGCCGTAAACTCCAACATAAATGGTTTTTTTGACCATAAAATTCCATGAGAGGTCTTGCACTCCTTTGTTGCAACCCATTAGCCTCCTAGCACTTGACCAAAGTGTTTACCTCGCATTAGAATGTTTATACATGTTTAATTAGTATTTTAATCACTAATTGTTTATATACATATGTCTTCATATGTAATTAGGATCATTGTGTGTGTCTAAAGTTTTCACTTGACACCAAGCACTTGTCCGATCCTTCCTTACGATACGGTCCGTTCAATTCCAATCACTTACTACAGTTGAGTTCATACCCCTTAATGAATGTTTTAACTGTTTTTAAATGTCTTATGGGGGGGGGGGGATACAAGTAGAATTATGCTAGTTACTATATCAATCACATGTGATTTGTAAGCAACATTCAAATGATTGGCTACTCATTTACCATTTTACCAAACAGTTTCCTTCGAATGATTTTCATAATCATTTTATATGATTAAAACTCCTTGTTAAGTTATACACTTTACTCTGTACGCTTCATTTCAAACTCATTTATAATTGTGTTTCAAACAAATGTTCTTTTTATACTTAAACTGTTTTATCAAACCCACGCTTTCAAACCATTTTATAGACTGACATCAAGTTGATCGTTTCTTTGATAATAACTATGTTCAAAGGTTTTACCAAACTTATTTTATGCTTTTATATTATCAATTGCATGCCTATGTATGTATAGTTATATAAGAAATGTTTAAAAGACTTAGGAAGGCTATCCACCCTATTTCATTTTCGCGCTTGAGATGTGGTCTGGTGGGATATCGGGTACCCGTCCGAAGGTTGTTTAAATATTAGTTATATATCATGTGTACATACATTGTCATAAAGGTTCTTCCAGTTCATTCAATACCCTTGGGTATCAAGGGTATACATCCATGTTCATACGTACTGGTTATATTACTAGTAAACTACCGTAGGGTTAGTTTAGTAAGATAATAGAACTATTATTAGAATACGATATCATACAATGAGTCAGTTCATTCATGAGTCAATACTCGCTAGATAGAGAGAGAACACACGTTACAACTAGCACACGCAAAACATTTACATGATTACATTTATATGAACATTTAAATGAGTACATTTATATAAACATGCTTACATGAGTACATTTGCATAGATAATATATGATGAGTTATTATTACATTTTATATGTATAGATTACATTTTAAAATCCTCATTCTTATCTTTGCTTTGTGATACAATCACATAATCGACGGGATAGATTGGATTTAATATCCTAGTACCAAAGGATACTTTGCGGGATTAACCATTCCTAGAATCTTTGTTAGCTACAAAGATAAAAGCACATCCTCGGATGTCAACGGTTGATACCATTACAGGTATAGTTTAAGGGATTAACTATTCCTACACCTAACTGTTACTAACAGAGGTAAATGTACATCTACGGATGTCTTAAGTTAACACTTTTAGTTACCCTAGTACCAAAGGGTAATACTTAAGCTACTTATATTATTACCTTTATTTTGTGACTCATTCACATAACCGATGAGGTGAATTATAATTGAGTATCCTAGTACCAAATGATACAATTTCTTATAATAATAATAATAGTAACACAGTCGGGTCTTGGTAGAAGGCTACATTCCGAGTAGTTAGGTCTTGGTAGAAGACTCCATTTTATAATAGTAAGAATCATAGGGATTTCTATGGTTTTTTTAAACATATACAGTTGTTCTACAAATATTTTTATACTTATACGAGCTTTCTTTCAAAACAATGTCAAGTATTTAATTACAAGTTTTACAAATTAAGACACATTAATACTTATGATATCACCAGCTTTAAAGCTGATACTCTTTTTCAAACTTGTATCTTCAGGTCAAGGATAGACACGTACCGATGCAAGGTTTAGAGAAGATGGAGCCCGATCAAGACTCATATTTTATTTTGATTGTACTTTAGTGTCTATATTATAACTTGACACAACACGCATGTATTAAAATTATATTATTAATGCAATGGATGATGTTGTTGCTTGTTTACTACTTTTCATTGTTGTGATACTGTACATGACGTCCTCCGCCCTAGAACGTTTCCGCCGTTCAATGGTTTTGGGGTGTGACAACTTCCAACCACTCTTTTAAAGAGACAATTAAACGGAATTCCTTTATTTTCAAATTCACAATCAATTTCAGAAATGCTTGACCATACGCCCTTTATACTCTTTCTAGCGATTGTTACAACGTCAATAAGCTTCAAATTGTGAATAGCTTTTATACAAGAACTCCAAAAGAAAGCATACCCGTTTTTCAATCGCCACCATGATTTAGCGTGGAGAGCTATGTTAGCCAAATCAAGACATCTAATGGCTAGACCTCCCATATCGTTTGACTTTTCGCTTTTCATTATTGCCTCCCATAAAAATTGCCTTCTAATACCATCAAGAACATTAATAACCTTTTTTGGAGCTCTAAATAGAGAAAGGTAGTATAAAGGGAGGCTATTAACAACCGAGTTAACCAATGTGAGACAACCACCAAAAGAAAGACATTTGCCTTTCCATTTGGAAATGTTTACTTCTAAACCTGTCAATAATAGGGATCTAATGTTTAGAAAGTTTCATGTTAGCCCCAATCGATAAACCTAAATACGGAAACGGGAAGGAAGCGGGCTCTAATTTTAAAATGCTAGCAAGTCTCTCCACCTCATGATCATTCACACCAACACCATATACTTTGCTTTTGTGCAAGTTAACTTTTAAACTGGATGCAAGAAAAACACAACGAAGTAACAAATTAAGGTTAATGAAGTTAATTTCCGACCATTTACCAATAGTAGGAAGAGAAACGCCTTTAAAATAGTGAAGATCGCACGCCGATTCCATGTAAATGTGAATGCCTTCCATCACATGTATAAAAAGAAAAGGTGAGAGATGATCACCTTGTCTAAACCCTTTCTTGATGTCGAATTCTTAAATGATGTGTTTTACTTTAATATCTACCGCGACAATAAGTTGTTGCTATAGCCTACTTCAACGATACTTACATCGACGACATTGTTGGCGTAGCAATATGTATCTACAACAATGACGCATATAACGACAATATGATCCAATGGTGGAGCTAGTTATGTAGTACCACTTAAACTTCCCTAAAAGTGTAAAATAATTTGAAAATATTTTTAGAAATAGTTGTAACCTTTTGAAAAAAAAAACTATACAACCGTAAGCTAAATCCATACTCAAAAGTCCAAAAGATAAAATTAAAGAAACTCACAAAGTCGATCCATTACTACGTAATACATTAGCTCATATCTAATCTATTATTTGAAACAAAGAAAGATCGTTTTTTTCTTTGGTCTATATGTTATTAAGGCTAAATTAATTTGCCCATGGCAAACATATTGGTTGAAATATATTTTTTTCTACAATATATAAATGTTTTGTAGACCGATCTGCACAATAAAATAAGTGGATGTTTTGATTTTTAGTTTAGAAAAGAAAATACTTACTGATATTAATACTGAAAATAAAATCATTTCAAAATAAATAAACTAAAGAGTAAATTTCACGAATAATGTAATTTGCACGTTTGATACTTAACTTATTTTTTTAACTCGAAAGGTTTCTATTGTTTGTTTTTGTTGCGCTTCGTCTTTGTATTATCTAAAAAGACTAATTATCCTTGATTATTTTTAATATTTTAAATAAACATACACCAATCACATTTACATCTCATTTTACCTTATCTTACCTATACCATCTTATTTAAATAAATTAAAAAATTAAGGGCAAAATACTATTTGAAGGTAAGATATGGAGCAAGCGCAACAAAAACAAACAATACCGATTTTGCGAGTTAAAAAAACAAATTAGGGACCAAACATACAAATTACCTGAAACCATAGGGACCATTCGTGTAGTTTACTCTAAACTAAAATGTAATCTATCGACTAGTTTGTTCTATTTGATTAAATCCTAATATCAAAGTTTATTATTTATTTATTTTTATTTTTTTATATATACTTAAATATATTGACCAGCCTGATTTTTTTATTTATTTTTATTTATATTTATTTTGGAACCATCGCCATATGATCGCTATAAGTATATTGTTATTTTATTTTTATAGTTGTGAGACATACACCCTGATATAATCTTAATATCACTTTTTAAATCTACTGTTTTCTAAATACTTGATCCTCAACACTAATGTATAGAAAACATTTTCGCCTTCAACAAAAAGCTTGTTTTTCGGCATAGATCAATATTTTTCAACTTTTAGCTGTGACATTTTTCTAGCGTGTTTCATATATAAATAAACAAATAGCTATGTTAGTACCAAATCAGAAAGTTTATTGGGACAAAAAAGTTTCTGTTCGCAGCGAAAATAAAAGAACGGAAATATAGACGAATAAATTAAATAACTCATAATAATTAAGAGTTTTCTGAACACACAACTTTAGAATTTTAATATGTATTATGCAGGATAATTAAGTATTATAGATGGAAACTCAATATATAACTTACATTATGTAATATCCAAACACTTCAACTATGCGATTTTTAGGATACAAACATAATATACCATTATCAATTAGCACAACTATTAAAAAACGTTTTTGATGATTTGCATATATTCACATACAATGTCACCAACCACGATTTTCTTCCTTTAAGGGTTATTGTTCCATGAATAAGAACCATAATAATGAGGCAACACATGAGCGTTTTGTACAGAACTCCCTGAACTTTGCGATGGCCTTAATATACTTTGATTACTCGAAAACCGAATAAGATCTGCATTTGTTGCATCTAGTTCCTTTTGTAGTCGAAGAACTTGTCTTTGGAGTACAGAAATTGCACCAACACAACCATAAACTGGATCTTTTAGACGTGCTTCAGCCTCATAGGCTAGAGAATTGACTGCATCTTCTCTTTGATGAGGCGCAATTTCATTGAGGAGTTTACTCACGTTGCTTGCCCCAAATATTTTGTGGACATTTGCGAATTTGGTTGGATCTTCCGGTGGAAAATATGGAGAAAACACACATCCTTGGATGCATTTTCTTCTTAAGAACTTGCACGCAGCACATGGTGCACAATGGTGGGTGGAAGAAGCCATAATATATTAATGTGCTGTGTGACATGATGATATTTAAATTATATATTGTGAAATTAAGTTAAGGGTATATCACGAGTCTTGATATTAAATAACAACAAACATAAGTTTCTGTATTTCTTTGAACTGCAAGTCATCATCCTAAGATTGGAACTTTGGGGCATCGAAACGCATATATATTTTACATTGAAAACAAATATATGTTCGTTGACATAAGCGATTATGTAGGAAAAGATATTAAACGTCCATACATGTGCCTCGAGTTAGCATTAGTGATCAACTAATTGTTATAATTAGCATGCAAATCATACATCATGGTCATGTCAAGAAGAAATGAAACGAAAAGTGAAATATACCATTTTATGATGATTTCTTGTTATACTCTTTCTTAAATATTGTTACAAAATAATCCATGCAATCAAAGATCAATTTTATAATAAAAAATATCTCTTTCACATTTAGAAGTCAAAAATGGACTATGGTTTCGAATTAACAGATTATTTTATGTCAATCTAAGGGATCAATTTTATTTCCAACCCAAATAAAACTCGAAATCCATATATATGTTTGATTTTATTGCTTGCATCCCCAACAAGTACAAGATTAATTTCTTACATCATGCCGGAATATTTGACTACAAATATCAGTCCTAACTTTATGACATTATTTTTTTTATTGAACAGGAAGAAACTTATTGTTTCTCCTTCATTGTTTTTCTGTCATTACTCTGGACAACTTGCATTTTAATTTGCCCTTTAACTTACAAAAAGCTGCAACAACTACAGATTCTTTTTGAAAGTATATATACACAAAGATCTGTCTATTCAAACCCATTTGTTCCCCACCCTTTCTTTCTACGTACGATTCTAAAACGCTAAAGTCAAAATGGTTTCAGATCGAAGTCAGCATGAAAGGAAACAGAATCAGGTAAACCGCTAGATCTACTAGCATGTACAAGCAAAACACGAAGTAATTCAGCCCCACGAAGATAAATCAAGAAAGAACGCTACTTTTGTGTCGAATTATGAATCTTTGCATGAAAGAATGATCAATTAGGGTTTTGTTCATTTATTTTTTGTAAGTAAAAGTTTAAGTATTCCACAAAGAAAAACAAAATGGTTTTCTGCTTATACTGTACTAACAAGAAAAGTAAAGAATATAAGGAAGATAAAGATCATCTTTCCTCCTGTTCCCCTTGCTAGTGAATCTAGTTTGTATAGTACAAAAGATCTAAGAAGCTATAGAATTTACCTGCTGGCTGTATGCATAGATGACCTGAATTTGAATGCTTAGCTATTGTTATATCTAAAGGCAGCCATTGATAACTTGGATGAAATCTTGTTTACATACAAAAGCAAAGTAAACCCTAGATAAACATATGAGACGGATTAACAAGAAGCCAGAAGCAGAATTATTTGTAGCAAAAGTGGAAATTAGGTAAGGGAGAGAAAGATATATAAAAAGAGAGAGTTTGTAAAGCTATCCAGGATGTGAGTATTATACATGTCACATTATTTATTTGTCATCTCAGCACCATATAATTTCTCCTTATTCTTCAAATCAACATGCTTTAAGAAATGATCTCTAATGTCAGCTCATTTTTATAAAATACAAATAAAAAAAATACTAATTTACTATATAAAAATATTTAACACATATAATGAAAATAAAAACATTTCATTAAATATAAGATATAAAAGTTAAATAAAAATATTTTAAATATTATATTAGTTAAAACATAAAATTAGAAAACTACTTTATATCGTTATGAAATATGTTTTTGATACTAATCCATAGTACTTGAAAGTTGAAGTTGTACAAAAATTCGAATCTACAAGAACCTAATATTTTGTATGTGATACTCAATTCAACATGATCAATCAGGGTGGCAAATCGGATCATCGTGTCGTGTTTTTGTACGATACGATATTACATGATAACGTTTTATATAACACGAACACGATATCATACGATATCGTGTTTTTTTTTAATTAACACAAAAAACAAAAACGAATAAAAAACGACAAACATTACACGACATGAAAAAAATAACATAAACAAACAATTAGTTTATTTATTTATACTTAATGGTATATAACACGACAAACAAATACTAAATCATATCAATTTCGTATCGAATATTGATCACGACCACTAGAAGGCACGATATTGTGTTTTTTTATACTTGATACAAACACGATACGAACAAGAATTCGAATTTCAGTTTATTCCTTATTTCGTTTCGTATCTTTTATTTTTCTCGTATCGTGTCATCAATTGCTACTCCTATGATCAATATCTCTTATTATAAATTTAACACACCATTGCAATAGTCATTAATCAAGGTATTCAACCATAAGAATACACGTAATTTATCTCAATATAAAATATAATCAAAATACGTATTTGGACTGTTGATACGTGAAGTGACCCTCTTAATTTTTGCCTACCGAAGTCTATATGCTACCTCAGTCAAGCTCCTTCAATAATCACATCTGAAATTCATGTACATGCTACTGCAATCACTTTTTCTGTACTTAGTTTACTTTATATCTACTTCTCTGTAATACTCTCTATTGTTCTATTGTTCAGTGTGCTTTGCATGGCTACTCTTAGAGAGTAAATCACTTGTAATTCTCGAGCTTCTATAAATAGAGCTCGCTCCTTATCAATCTATATAGATCTCTTTTACTCATCTCTAAATTTGAAATTATTCTTACGCATCTCCTATCTTTCTTACCAAAAATCCTCTCGAACACAACTGAGTAATACTTCTCTTCGGAGCAAGTTATTCGTGACTTTATCACTAAAATTGATCTCGCTTACTAACTTGGTTTGAATGCATTCCATGTTATTAATCAACTTATGTGTTTACTTGATATATAACCTGCTGTCATTTATGTTTCTTTACTTTTCCGCAATTAACTATCTAACCATCTAACATATTAACTTATTATTGTTGAACTCTTAGATCCTTTGAGATTAACTAATTCCGCAACTATACTTGTTGTAACGTTTGTCCAAGTGTATCTTAAGTTTTTCTCTCAACATGGATTTATTTTTTATTTTTAAAATACTAATGATTCGACATTAACTAATAGAATATAAACTCATTGAATAATCGAATGTCCGTTATTCTAAACCCAATCAATAATTAATCAAATTTTACAATATCTATCCAAAAACTTGTTTTCCATTATATCCATTCTACGTTTACGTTGAATCGCATGGGATACAACCCCTAATTAAAAACATTAAAGGTAATCCTAAAGAATCTGGGAAACCAAAACATACCTAAACCCTAAATATGCTCTAAAACGTGTGTTATATTATGCCAAATTAAGAACTCATTAAAATGTAGAATTTTTTTCGTCATATAATAATTGTTAGTTACAACATATCTAATCTCCTTTGGTATGTAGGATTATACATCAGTTATTGAATTAATTAAAATTTAAAGATTTAAAGTGGAGTCTGACTTAAGTCATAATATGAGAAAGTTTGATATGTTATTCGATTCTATAAAATCCAAATATTTGTTGTAGGTCCCTCACGCGGACCAAACCAATTATTCCATCCAAGATTTCAATAAGATTGTATTATTAAAAGTTTTAACTTTTAAATAATTAAACTGAATGATATACTTTTAATTTAAGTTTTAGAAACCTTTACAAATCATTACTTTTTTATTCTAATAAACGAATCGTTTTTCTCATACAAAATCTATACATCCTTTTTTCTATCGAACATAAATTACTATTTTATCTCATCCCCTCCTAATTGTTTTTCATGTTCATGAGTTTCGTGTTTAACAAAATAAGGTTTTAAATATCAATTTGTTGATGACAATATTCATTCCTTCTTGAATGAAATATACTATTTTGAGGTTAGACCATCAATAGAATTTATAAATTTAACATTGATGACTCTTTAAACAATAAGTTCATTTATCATGTTAACACAAAAATGCTAAACCAAGATTTGAACCGAACACATCTATCGCATTATCACCGTGGTCACATAAACAAGAAGCGTATATCCAAACTCTAAAAGAGTGGACTTTTGGGGACAAATGAAATGGAGTCATTTGATATATATGAATTTTGTTTGTATGGTAAGATCACAAAGTTTCATTTATCTGGTTTGAGTGAAAGGGACAATGTTCTATAAGGCATAATGCATACTGATTTATATGATCCATTTAAATTATCCATATATATGATTTATACCGATTCATATGATCCATTTAAACAATGTCTAGATATGGTGAAAGGTATTACATTACCTTCATAGATGACTTTAGTCATTTTGGTTATGTTTATTTGATGAAACATACACATGAAGCTTTTGAAAAGTTTAAATTGTTTCAAAGTGAAATTGAAAATCAAATCAACAAGACAGTCAGGATCCTTCGTTAGCATAAGGTGGCAAATACTAGAGCCTAGAGTTCCAAGATCATGTTAGAAGTCTTGGGTTATCTGACAACTTACTCCATTCAGAACAACACAACTTAATGGTGTGTGTGAGAGGAGAAATCACACCTTACTTGAGATGGTTCGATCTGTGATGAGCATAAGTACTCTCCATTTTATCATTGTTATGCCTTACTCACCACAACCCACATCTTGAATATGGCACAAACTAAAAAGGTAAACAAAACACTTTTTGAGATTTGGTATGGAAAAACTCCAACTTTATCTTACTTGAAGGTTTTGGTGATATGAAGCTTATGTTAGACAACATACTTCAAGCAAACTCGAACTTGAGTATACCAAATGTATCTTTCTAGGATACACTAAAGATTATTCATGTTATTATTTTGTACATCCCTAGTAATAATAAGATCTTTATTCACGAAAAAGTTGAATTCTTAGAAAAGAAATTTCTATGAATAAAACAAGTGGGTAGTAGCCCTCACTGAGGTGGCTGCCACAACAGCTGTAGTCACAACAGGGGTAAGAGCCAATCAGGCATTCTAGAATCAGGACTTCGACATGTAACACCCCGTTTCCAAGACAAACCCTAAGAGCTGAGGATGTGTTTTAAATATCATTCTATTCCGATATATGAATATAATTAAATAGATATTCTTGGAAAACTGTGAAAATGGGCAATATAATTTGTTTAGGAGGACTTAAGAGTACTTTCGAGGTTCGTAGTTGAAAGAATACTTGCACATATGGCTAAAGGATAATCAGTCTGGCTCGTTTTGTAGTTCGTTGGCATATATTGAAAATATTTTGTAGAGGAGGGGCTATTTGGGAAAATTGGGATTTAATTTGAAAGGAAAAGATAAGGAAGGGATGAATATGCCATAATATATAATTTAAGGGTTAAAAAGGTAATTTCTAAATTTATTTTAAAAAAGATTCTCAAACTGGAGGGTTGTTTGGTAAAAGATTAGACCTGAATTGAAGTCGATTTTAATGTTGGGGACTGTAAGGGTAAATTTCGGACCTACATTGAAAGGATAAGGGAACAGAGGGGACAAAGGTGGTATTATGGGTTAAATTATATGGGGCTCGGAGTATAAAACCTATTACCCCGATAAACCCTAACCCTAAAAGGAGTGGCAACCGCAATCCAACCTATACCCCTTCGTCTCTAGTGCCGTTGCCACCCTGATGCCTCCACCACCGTTGTTGTCTTCTGCCGCTAAAGACATTGAGCTGCCACCTGTGACCTCTCTAGTCGCCGGCATAGAGTTTCTCAGCCGCCAAGCCGACCACGAACCTGCTGCTGGCGAAATCACTGATCGGTCGCTGCCTTCACTCCTTCATCACTTTTGTTGCCCACCATCTATCATCGTGGGTGCCACTACACTCACTCCCAGTGGCATCATCTCGTCGTTCCCCGCTTACTAAACTCAGCTACACTCGTTTCCGCTGCAACTCCAGGTGACAATCTCCTTCAACGCTTCGGTTGCTATTTGCCACCAGTTATGGCTGCGTGGATGCACGTTCAACGATCGTGTTCCGGTAGGTGGTTTTTCAAGGAAAATACATTTGTAGATGCTCTCTTCTTGCCAGAATCATCACGGGAACCACCATGGTGTTCGTTACCATGCTATCGCCTCTGTACGCCACTGTAAGGTGGGTGGTCACGTTCATTTCCGCGTAATGTATTCTTCGATGCTCGAATGTTGCTTGCTTCGTGCTTCGTGGGACTCTCGATGACGGGAGTCAGCTACCAAGCGAATATGATGATATTCAGGAGCTAGATGGCTGGCATCATTAGGAGCTCTTCAGCAGCTGATGGCAGAGAAGTGTGGGAATCTAGGAAGAGCCTAGGGAGTAACCTTAGCTAGATGAGTGCGCTGGCAGAGTAGAGAATTTCACTGGGGAGCGAGCACGTGCGACGGAATTGGTGAACGCGATGGTCGAGCAGCTACTTAGGAGCTCCGGGATAGTCCGTGTGGAAAGTATGGGTAGATGTGGCAGGTAGTCTGGGCCCGTACTACTGAAAGCAGAGGACCCATACTTGATACAGGGAGTATTCTAAAGGTTCTAATGAGCAGATTGAGGAGT